TGGCATAAAATCAACACTTGATCATTGATGATACTTTATATATATATATATATATATATATGCCTACATGTACTGCGTTAGATTAAATTGGGAAGTTTAGCACTTGCATATTGTTGTCCTATTGTTTAACTGTAAGTCACTTTGGATAAAAGCTTATGCTAAATGACTAAATGTAAATTGACTTGACATTGAACATTCACACATTTAGGTACATGTTTCTTCTTTCAAACTTCAAGTGCTATTGAAGTTAGAAACATTTATAACAATGTCTTTGTAACTTAAGAGATGGTCCCTAAATGTTCGAATGTCCAATGTCAAGCCAAATTTATGCCAGTATATCAGTGGGAAACTTTGCCCGTTATATTCATATTCTGAATCTATCTGCTTGCCTGCGAGTTTGGTCTTTTATATCACTGTATTAGTCCATTAAAGGGATAGTTCACTTTGAAATTAATTTTTGGTATGTTTTGAGATGGTCCTCACTGCAGAACATGAAATCCACGGGGAGGAGTCGGATCCAGATCCGACTCCTCCCACCTTACAAACACCTAAACCTACTTAGCTCCACCCCCTGACCCCTAAACCCAACCCTAAACCTACCCAACTCCACCCCTCAGATCTGGATCTGACTCTGCCCCCTGGATCTTGTGTACTGCAATGAGGTGCTACTGTATGTTTTAGCTTACCTCAAGGGCATCCAAGATGTAGGTGTCTTTGTTTCCGCAGTAGTTTCAATTTTGATATTTTTAGGTCAAACCGTTCTTGTCTGTCAGTCATATAATGCAGGTCTATGGTCACCACCTCAAAGAGCATGCACAGAGAAGTCCAAATTAAACATGATTTAATGACTCGTAAGTTTAAGTACACATTGATGGCCTAAGACACGAAACAAGCGGTTTGTGTGAGAAAACAAACAGTATTTATATAGTTTTTACCTCTTAACCACAGCCACGTCCAAGTGATTGAGGGCGCGGGCGCTTCGGTCTGCTCAAGATCTGTCGCGCGTGTACGTCACTCATTGTTTAAACCGCCGTAAAATAAAACAATTACGATGGTTTAAACATCCCAGGTAAGCACAAATTAGTACCATTTTAATTAGCTGTCTTGCTTACAATCTCTGTTCTGTGTAAACAATGAGTGACGTACACGCGCGTGAGAGAGACACTTTCGGTGCTTGAGCAGACCGAAGCGGCCGCGCCCTCAGATCACTTGGACATGGCTGTGGTTACAAGAGGTAAACAAGAGGTAAAAACGATATAACTACTGTTAATCGATAGTTTATAAAAATCCAGCTGTCCATTGCTTGTTCATGTTAGTTCACAGTGCTTGAACTAATGGTAACAAAATTGATATCACCTACGATCTTAAGATTCACATCTCCCTCCATATTGGTTTCAGCAGCAGACTAACATGATACCAGGTCTAAACATGAGTGCATTGGGAATCTTCTCCTCTGGCTTGTCTGTTCTTCCCCCAAACTCTGGTCTGCGTGGATCTCTGTCCACCCCTGCCAACTACAGCCCCCTGCTGGTGAGTATCAAGATGTGCTATATCAGGACACTTGACTGCGAATGACTTTTCATAAGAATGTGTGTATTCTCTCTTTTAATGTCTGGTTACATTAATCTCATCACATGCTATGGGTGTATGTTTGCCATCACAGGGACCCTCTTCAGTAATGGGGGGCATGTATGGGGTTCCCTCCTCTGGAGCATTATCTCTTCAGCAAGTGGTGAGTACTTGTTCTTATATGTCTATCTCAAAAGAGCTCAATTTTTTTTTTACTCTGCACACTGCTGTATATTGTGACTATCTGAACCCCCTAAGAAGCTTTTCAATTACATGCATGTTACATAAAAAGTATTTTTTATTACGAGATAACTAGTTTGTGACACATTGAGCAGCCATGTTTTAAAGAGCAACATGCAGGTTAAATTTATTTCTGAATTAATAATTTAAATTGTCTGCAGAGGTCTTTTAAAAACATATGTAGAAATTATTAATGAAATCTCATTTGATGTAGAGATTTTGATGAAAATGCGCTAGGCTCTGGAATGCACTAGCAATGCGTCATGTGACGTAGGCCGAGGCAAACAAATGAGCTCGCGGTCCACTTTCTCATTGTTGGGTGTTGATTTAGTTAGAGCAGTAGTGAGAGACAGAAAGTTTTAGATCGAGTTTTAGAGAAGCCATAATGGTAAATTATTGTGTTTGTGCTGGTTGCACGAATTCCAGCCTGTCAGGACATCGTGTCCATCATTTTCCTTCTAGGGTGTGTTTTGTGCAGGTGAAGAGAGCAGACCTCACTGCCGCGTCTGTTACCACACACTCGGTCATTTGTGGCGCACATTTCACTCGCTTTAAATGGTATCAATAACTGCAGTTGAAAAGCTTTATTTATTTGTTGTTGTTATGGCATGGTCATTAGTCAATGTAGATAGTGCTAACCAGCTTGGATGGACTGCATAATCACTGTCAGTGTAGAATATGAGAAGACAAAACGTTGCTGGCTTAAATTAAGACAATCTAAATGGATGTTTAATCAAGAACAAAGTCGAACGCATGTTTGCTAAAGCAGATTTATTACAAAACACCAAGGTACTAGCCATACAGTAGATGAACCAGCGTTAGCCACGGTGCTAACTTACATGAACTCACCAAGTCACTTGCCATATTCGCCACTGGTTTTCTTGACATCACAACTCTAACGTTACTTCTCTCCTCTGCCCATTGTTCCTCCCCCAATCTCCCCCGGACTTCTATCTCGCCTTGGAGGCTCATAATTTCTCATAGTTTCGTCATTCGCATCCATTGTAACCTAAACTTGAACTTGAACAGACTCCCTCGCCGATCGTCACTTGCGGTTAGTTCTTCGTAAACGCGGGAGTTATTTTATCACAATTTTTCTCAAAATATCGTTACTGGCTAAATATATATTACTCCAGTTCAGAAAACCTAGTTGTTTTATCGTCAACATACACTATGCTATATAGGGGTGTCCAACCTGCATGTTGCTCTTTCAGCAAGTTTTGATCCATTCAGAATGAATGAGAATGTCTTTTAAATTCCAGTTAAGTTCCTGATTTTTGTTTGCATCATACCGATGCACAAAAGTCACTTGAGTTTGAAAATGAAAGAAATTCATGTAACTATTGTAAATATAGTTTTTAAAAAAATATATTATATTTTTCTGCATGAATTATGCATGAACATGTTAATATATGGCTTATTTCCATAAACATTAGATGATATTAATAATAAAAGTTATTATAGTAATAATCTGCTATTAATTTATAGATATTTCATTACATTTATTTAATTAAAAGTTTATAAGATCTTAATCAACTTTAAAATAAAAAGGTCATAATTAAACTTTTAGTAACACTTTCTAACAATATTTATAACCACGGATAATGCATTTATTAATCTTAGTTAATTTAAATTTCTACTTGCACTATTATATTATCATTTTAACATTTTTTTTTTCATTTAAAGTCCCCCCACACACACTTTGCTTTTTGTCCACTTTCCACTATACATTCTAACAGTGGTGTAACAAGCCAACACCGGGCCCTTATGCAGGATTATCAAGGCGGGCCCCCCTACAGCACGTGATGAGGCAGTGTTCACGAGTACGCTACTATGAATAGAACAGGATAGGATCATAGAGACACAGCATTAAAGACTGGCAAAATCAGGAGTAGCCTATGTGCACCACAAAAAAACTGGTGATTGCACACCATAACACATAAAAAACACTGCTGGTGACGGCACACCACCACATTGTTACTCACTGCTATGACTACATACACATAGGACGTTTTTACTGTTTTGCAAGTAACACGCATGTTCACTTAGCATATCCGGGATTCAAATTGGGAGCCGGGGATTCCCAACAGCGTACCCTGCTTACTGATAGTTACGCCTGTGCATTCTAAAAGTGACTCTAACTGGTTTAAAGGAGAACTCCAGCGCAAAATGTACCTTTGGTCTAATAAAACATTGGTACCTAGTCAACCGTTCT